AAGTTATTAATTACACTTTGATGGTGTATCAATACACCCATTCACTACAATGATACAGGCGTCCTTTCTAACTCAGTTGCCGGAGAGGAAGGAAACTGCTCGGGATTTCACCATGAGGCCACTGCTGACTTTAAAACAGTTACAGAGTTTAATGTCTGTGATAGAAAACTGAGAATGCATCAACATTGTAGTTACTCCACAAAACGAACCTAATTGACAGAGTGAAAAGAACAAAGCTTGTACAGAATAAAAATATTCCAAAACATGCATCCTGTTTGCAACAAGGCACTAAAGTAATACTGCAAAAATATGGCAAAGCAATTCACTTTTTGTCCTGAATACAAAGTGTTATGTTTGGGGCAAAACCAATACAACACATTACTGAGTACCACTCTCCATATTTTCAAGCATAGTGTTGGCTGCATCATGTTATAAGTATGCTTGTAATCATTAAGGACTTGGGAGTTTTTACGGATAAAAAAGAAACTGAATGGCACTAAGCACAGGCAAAATACTAGAAGAAAACCTGGTTCAGTCTGCTTTCCACAAGACACTGGGAGATAAATTCACCTTTCAGCAGGAAAATAACCTAAAACACAAGGACAACACTAGAGTACAAGGACTACACTGGTTGCAACTGGAGTTGCTTACCAAGAAGACCGTGAATGTTCCTGAGTGGCAGAGTTACAGTTTTGATTTAAATCTACTTGAAAATCTATGGCAAGACCTGAAAATGGTTGTCTAGCAATGATCAACAACCAATTTGACAGACCTTGAAGAATTTTGAAAAGAATAATGGGCAACTGTTGCACAATCCAGGTGTGGAAAGCTCTTAGAGACTTACACATAAAGACTCACAGCTGTAATCGCTGCCAAAGGTGCTTCTACAAAGTATTTACTCAGGGGTGTGAATACTTACGTAAATGAGATATTTCTGTATTTCATTTTCAATAAATGTGAAACAAATTCTAAAAACACGTTTTCACTTTGTCATTATTGGGTATTTTGTGTACATGGGTGAGAAATCATCTATTTAATCAATTTTGAATTCAGCCTGTAACACAACAAAATGTGGAATAAGTCAAGGGGTAGGAATACTTTCTGAAAGCACTGTATATCTAGTGACAGTTGATACTTTTAAGGCCTGTGTCCGGTTGCAGAAAACATCTTAAAGTGCGACTGCACTTCCTGTTTTGTTTTTTTGGCTCGCTTATCAAGAAACACTGGCAGCCATGACTGAAGTCGAACGAGAGTTGTCTTGGGGTTGGGTTACTAATGTTTTGTCCCCCATGAGACACGATAGGAATCATGTGGTCCTCTGTAGCTCAGCTGGTAGAGCACGGCGCTTGTAACGCCAAGGTAGTGGGTTCGATCCCCGGGACCACCCATACACAAAAAAAAAATAATAATAATTAGACACTAGAAAAAATTATTCTGACTCATATTAATGCCATATGGGCCGTTTTCAAAGGGATTGGTTGCTTTTTAAAGGCAGTCGCTCTTTAAAGCTGCAATATGTAACTTTTTGGGAGACCCGACCAAATTCACATTTTGTGTTATAGATCTAACATTCTCATTGAAAGCAAGTCTAAGAAGCGGTAGATCTGTTCTATGTGTGCTATTTCTATGCTTCCAGTTCTTAGTTTTGTTCTTGAGTTTTTTTCTTTCGGTTTTGTACACCAGCTTTAAACAGCAGAAAATACAATATTATTGGTTATGGAAAAGTTAAAGCTGCATTTAAGAAAAGTACAACATGTGTAAAGATTACTTTTCAACATTGACTGCTCCCGAGCGTTCTCACTAGAAAAACGTAATATTGTAGGGCTTCCCTCATTTCCCTTTTCATGACAGCGTTAGCAGCCATGTGAATGAGTGAGTGCTAGCTAGCTAACGACTGGAACATTAAGCTAGCCAAGACCAACAACACAAACAAACAGACTGTAGTGAGTAGAGTTACAAACAGACTATACTAAACTAGTTAAATGTCTTACCTGTGATGAAATGTTTTCCACACACATAGCTACATGTAGCCTACTTGGACACCGGGTCCCCACAATTTCCCACTCTTCCACGCTGAATAGCCTGAAGCCACAGGGCTCTTCTGGCAGGCTCAATTTCCCTATATGGGAGCATGGTGAACCGTAGGTTGGGATTTTTGACCTGGTTACATGTACACTGAACATTATGTTTTGTTATTTCTGTATAACAGAAAATCTACGATGAAGTTGGCTATTTTACACTGGGGGTCAATGGGAAAGAACGTTTGTTTTCCCCAATTTATGGGTGTAGTTGCGGGGATTTCCTTATTATTACTATTGACTCAGAGTATAGGGTGCATTCGGAAAGTGTTCAAACCCCTTGACTTTTACCAAATTTTGTTACGTTACAGCCTTATTCCAAAATTGATTAAATTGTTTTTGTCCCCTCATCAATCTACACACAATACCCCATTATGACAAAGCTAAAACAGGTTTTTAGACATTTATAAAAAATAAAACTTAACTGAAATATCACATTTACATAAGTATTCAGACCCTTTACTCAGTACTTTGTTGAAGCACCTTTGGCAGCGATTACAGCCTCGAGTCGTCTTGGGTAGGACGCTACAAGCTTGGCACACCTGTATTTGGGGAGTTTCTCCCATTCTTCTCTGCAAATCCTCTCATGCTCTGTCAGGTTGGATGGGGAGTGTCACAGCACAGTTATTTTCAGGTCTCTCCAGAGATGTTTGATCGGGTTCAAGTCTGGGCTCTGGCTGGGCCACTCAAGGACATTCAGAGACTTGTCCCGAAGCAACTCCTGCGTTGTCTTGGCTTAGTGTTGTTGTCCTGTTGGAAGGTAAACCTTCGCCCCATTCTGAGGTCCTGAGCGCTCTGGAGCAGGTTTTCATCAAGGATCTCTCTGCACTTTGCTCCGTTAATCTTTCCCTCGATTCTGACTAGTCTCCCAGTCCCTACTGCTGAAAAACATCCCCACAGCATGATGCTGCCACCACCATGCTTCACCGTAGGGATGATACCAGGTTTCCTCCAGATGTGATGCTTGGCATTCAGGCCAAAGAGTTCAATCTTGGTTTCATCAGACCAGAGAATCTTGTTTCTCATGGTCTGGGAGTCCTTTAGGTGCCTTTTGGCAAACTCCAAGCGGGCTGTCATGTGCCTTTTACTGAGGAGTGGCTTCTGACTGGCCACTCTACCATAAAGGCCTGATTGGTGTAGTGCTGCAGAGATGGTTGCCCTTCTGGAAGGTTCTCCCATCTCCACTGAGGAACTCTGGAGCTCTATCAGAGTGACCATCGGATTCTTGGTCACCTCCCTGACCCAGGCCCTTCTCCGCCAAGAGAATTGCTCAGTTTGGCCGGGCGGCCAGCTCTAGGAAGAGTCTTGGTGGTTCCAAACTTCTTTCATTTAAGAATGTTGGAGGCCACTGTGTTCTTGGGGACCTGCAATGCTGCAGACAGTTTTTGGTACCCTTCTTCAGATCTGTGTCTTGGCACTATCCTGTCTTGGAGCTCTACTGACAATTCCTCCGACCTCATGGCTTGGTTTTTGCTCTGACATGCACTGTCAACTGTGGGACCTTATATAGACAGGTGTGTGCCTTTCGAAATCATGTCCAATCAATTGAATTCACCACAGGAATGAATGTTCAAGTTGTAGAAACATCTCAAGGATGATCAATGGAAACAGGATGCACCTGAGCTCAATTTCGATTTTCATAGGAAAGGGTCTGCATACTTATGTAAATAAGGTATTTCTGTTTTTTATTTGTAATACATGTGCAAAAATGTCTAAGGGGGGTGGGGGGGGGGGGGGGGGGGGGGGTGGGGGGGGGGGGGGGTGGGGGGGGGGGGGGGGGGGTGGACTCAGTCCAGCTTTCAACATACTCCTGAAAGTTGTAGTAATAGAATGCACAAGGTGCAATTTTGAAATTGGGTAGTGCATCAGCAGTTTTCCTCTTGTCATGTCAGTCACTGCAGACCTTAGAGCGCTATTTATAACTTGTCAGAAAGGTCCGGATCAACTAGCCCATGTCAGCTAGCGTTTCTTTATCCAAAGCAATTTTGTCATTTGGGTATACATTTCCGTATGGGTGGACGCAGCGAGAATCGAACCCACAATCATGAGAGAAATTATAATGGGAAGCAGAAAAAGAGTATGGGGGTGCTAAACACTCAGCATCATTCCAGGTTTTCCTACTGTATGAATACCCAGACGGCAGAGGGCTGTGGTGGTGCACATTTTAATGGCATGTGCTCCAGTCCAGTGCAACTTAAGATCAAAGTGTTTGTGCCCTGGAAAATTACAGCTTTCACAGAGTTGTGTTATCCCAGAATACATGATTAATAAAAAGGGGGCAGCATCTCAATTAAAAGTTGGGTGGCATTTTCTGTTTTTAATTTTCTGATTAACGCATAGCTTTCCGATAAATGGGGTTTAAACAAGGTAAGTGGATATGCCTTTTCAGAACTGGTCATTAGCACTGCCCAACAAGGTTCCTGGTTGCCACTGATATTCTAATCCATGCAAAGGTCAGTAGGAAACTACAGGCTTAGAGGAAAAAAGAGAAAGCGAGTCTCTCACATTGGCACATGAGACGGCCATGTTTACACCTTCCCCTGCTGACTGAGAGGTTCACTGGGAGTGCAAGCTAAGTCCAGACAAAAAGAGATAGTCATCCATGTTTCTGAATGAGGATGGATAGTAGGAGGGACCTAGAGTGATTATTGCCAGTATGCAAAAAAATGTATAGGCCTACAAGATATTGGTTATTGTGTAGTATGTGATATGAACTCTGCTATAAGGAAGACATGGGCCTTTCAATATTCAGTTGCCATATGAAACACATTATTGCTTGCAACAGATGTACTCCAAGACTGCCCTTTCAGAGAAAAAATACAAGGAAACATATATATTTTTTAATGGTTTAATAGATACAGTATAAAATCTCTACTCACAGTATAAAGTGAAAATAAATACAATTCAAGTCAATGATTTAACTTATAAAGTGATAATGCTTGTGAGTGGAAGTTCAACATCCCCCAGAATATAGTCTCTTTTCATAGTGGACATTTTATTGACAACTTTAAATCTCAGGGAGCGTTGGCAGAGGTGCTCCTCTGAGATGGCATCAAAGAAAAAGTCCTCATTGAAGATGGGGTTACGACACTTCCTGATGACTGTGCTACGCTGCTTCTGGACCTTTCCAGGCACCAGGGAGAGGCTGAAACTGCAGTTTATACTCTTGGGGTCCACCGAACAAGTATATAGCCCTTCAGCACTGATGAGCCGCACCCGCAGCCTTTGGTTATCAGGACAGTACTCTGCAGAGAGGCGCAGGGTGCCGTCCTTCCCTATAGGGACCAAGCTCTCCCTCATCACCCTTTCTCTGTGCAGAACCAAGTCTATGGGGAAGATGGTAGGAGGGGCCAGACCGAAGCTTGGTGGAAGGCCCTCTACCAGCCCCTCTGACGCCCTCCTCATGACATTGGGGCTATTGTCCGTGGAACTGCCCTCGTCTGTCGACAGGGAGTTGTTTCTGGACACCACAGTCTTCCTGATGTTTCTGGAGAGAAGCCTTTCATGACTCAATGTTTTGAAGAGGGAAGACTTGGGTGGGGACCTGCTCAGCATTGGGGAGCTGAAAGGGGATGACTCAGCTGACGAGGTGGTGTCACTGTCCAGTGTGCCCTGTCTGTTGAGAGTATAACCTCTGGGGGACAGTCTGGAGCTCAGGGTGTGGAGACTGAAGGAGGAAGGGGAGGAGGACAGAACGGTGTTGGACCTGCTCCTGGGGAGAAGCAGCGGTGTGCCACAGGACCCAGGGTAATTGTGGAACAGGGACTCCTTCCTCCTGGTGTGGGGGCTCTCCAGCAGGGTACAGAAGCCGTAGCAGGTCTGGGCTTTGGCCATGTGGGGCAGGGAGAGGGCTGCCTGGCTCTGAGGGTCTGCGTTGGTGGTCTCCTCATCACTACAGTCATAGGGGCCCTCGTCCACACTCTCCACCTGGATGATGTGTGGGCTGATGAGCTCTCGTGCTGGGGCCTCCCTCTTAGGGATCCCCCTCTCCCGCTCACACAGGGACACTCTGATGATGGGGGCCTGATGGCTCTGCTCTTTACCCTTCACATCCTGGAAGGGTGGGATCTTAGGAGGGATGCAGAACTCTGGGATAGTGTCTGGGGTGATGACGTTAGGAAACAGGGAAAGTCTCTTGTGTTTGTCAGCTTTCTCTCCAAATATGTCTCCGATCCTGAAGCTGTATTCCATTGAGGGGAGAGGCAGGTTGGGTCTCTCCGCGGACACACGGATCTTCTCCACCACCCACATTAGTTCTCCGACAGGGCTTGGAAACTGCAAAAGTAAAAGTAAATTCTCATTAGATAACAGAAATGTATCCAAATCACAGGCAATCAAAAATGATATTTTTTAAAACAAGTTAAATACTTTTTATAAACACAAATCTAACTTTATATTGAAAGCATTGAGAAAAGGTAAATAATTTTCAACAGTCATAATTATGAAGTTAAGCTTACCTTGTGTGAATGAGATGTGAGTAAATCGAACACTGTGTCCTTACAGACAGGCTTGTGAGATAGACAATGATTGTAGTAGTAAAGGTCTTATAAGCAATAGCTGAGGCTCTCTATAAGTAGCAGGCTCAGGATCTCTCTTTTTAAGTCCAGCTCCTCTGTAAGCGACTGACAGAGAGCTGCAGCCTGTTTAAATATGGCCGGGTGGTGGGGAGGAGACCAGGATGACTTCCACACACCCTTCAGTGCTCGGACAAGAACCTCCCTCTCTCCTGGCCACCCGTTCCCATGGATACACCCAAGCCACGACAGCAGGGGGAAAGGCCAGCATGATAAACCAACTGGACTACTTTCAAAGTGAACACATGTATTTGACCAAAGGAATACATCTTAATTAGTTTGTTTGATTTCCATTTATGCAGATGAGAGAGGAAACGTAACATTGGGTTGTTCATATAAAGAAGGTGAAATTGTACGATTATGGCTGAGGCCTGTTGGTGACCCTAGGTTGGCAGTGCTTGAAATGCTGGGACAACATTGACTTTTGTTGAATAGAATATGGGTCTAACCTGTCTACATCAATTAATTACAGGAAGAAACTCTTGCTTGCTTGAGAAACTTAAATATTTACTTGATTTATTATTGACGTCAATACCTAGTCATTGAGTCAAGTGAATCTTTGTCCATTTATGTTGCTGAGAATATTTGTTAAATCCACATACACGTGTCACTTTCATCTCAATACTACTTACAGTATTGCTCCGAATGAACTGAGTCACTGTAAAAATAGCCTAAGTGTAAAGATGTTGCAAAGCCACACACTGAAATCACAATATCCGACAGGTTTGTTTGTCATCCTCTTTTAGTGATTTTGAATGCAACGCACTATAATTTCAAATCACTCAATAACCTCCTATAAGTATTTTCTATACAGGTCACCTCTCTACTGTAGCCTATGTATAATGACTGTGCTATTGACACAAGGATTACAACAGTTACAACAAGACTTGATGAGCAACTCTAAAACACAACGCTGCTTTGAAGACAAACAGATCACATTCTCACAGTATTTTAGACACTTTGAAATTAAAACACAAGTCTAATAGGTCTACACAATGCAACATGTCTTAATTCATGCCAGAGGTACCCTCTTGTGGTGGGAGAAGTATCAGCTTTTCTGTCATAAAAACAATTATATTTTGGACAGTAAAAGAAGAGGAGCCAGTGGAGCAGCATGGACATCTCCAATACTTTACCCATAGAGATCACGGATCACTCAGTTCTTATAAAAACCATGTCACACCTCAAAAGGCATGGTGTTAAATGGTAAATTGACATTATGTAGGTTGATTAGTGTACAGTATAAAGCCACAGTAGTGCTTGGATAGTCCCTTTGACTTTCCTCTCTGGGTTTCCTTAGGAAAAGCTCAGTTCTCTAATGGCCAAAGTTCAAGTGGAGTAGCTTAGTAACTCTGTGCAACCACACCAAAAGACAGATGGTGGGATCATACCTAATGCAATCTCAAGAGAAACAATTGAAAGAGTGGAAGTTCTCAGAAATGTTGTTTTTAACGGTCCAAACATATTGTTGTTTCGTCAGCTGCACCTTTTACACAGATTTCAGACAGCGGAGAAAAGGGGAGAGAGTTGATTGAAAATGTTTCAAGATCAAATCAAGTCAACACCCCTTATGATCTGTTCAGATTTGCTTTCGGGTTTCAAAGCCTTTACTTTTCAAAGTCTCATCCTATTCGATCAAATGTCTTTTTTTAAACTAATCCTAAACTAAATGTTATATTTTTGGCTGAACTAAGGTTAAGGAGGGTTTTTGGCCTCAGAAACTGAAGTGTGATACCAGTTGTCTTATTAGCTTAACCAAATGTATGTGACCCTTGCCCCATTGAGCTGAATCTGGCATCAATAATCATTGAGTGCTGCCATGTAATGAGCTACATCTGTTTGAGGGTCACCTCAAAACATAAACTGTTTTCCATCTAAAAGTAATACTATGCCCCTTCACTCCAAATAGGGGGTCACATTCTGTAGGATAATGTATTCTCCCTTCAGAGTATGTAACAGGCTGTCAGTCACCAGGCTGTTTGTGTGTTCATTCACTGCAGCCAACAGATGGCAGCATCTAGCTAAGTAGAAAACATCAATTTGTCTTGGATTTGACTGACCAAGTTGAGAAACTGTATTGAGATTCTGGCTGTTATCTATTACATTCTCCATGGATGCCGTCTATTAGCTAGTTACAAATAGACTCCAAGCCCCTACCACTAGGTACTTTGTGATTCCCCCTCACAGATCTGATCTGTGTGGGCCCTATGTAGAATGATGGAAACTCTACCTGGGCTACCCAAGGAAGTATTAATGTATCAGGGATACTGTTCTTTCATATCTTGAAGGGACGCCGCAATGTGTCACATAGAAGGGGCCAATATGGGGTGGTCTGAAACCAGGCCTCATCACAGCTCTCCACTAACACCAAGATCCAAATCTTCAACACAAATGTGATGCGAAACCTGAAAAAGTCTTAATCGACAACTGCCTACGTTACATACTGAGGATATCGTGGCCAAATAAAATAGACACATACTCAGGAAAAACACAATGGGCATAACAAGACAATCACTGGACTACTACAACCCACAAGGAAAGAGAAAGCTGGGAAGGCTAAAAACCAACTGGAGACACTCATTTACATTTACATTTTAGTCATTTAGCAGACGCTCTTATCCAGAGCGACTTACAGGAGCAATTAGGGTTAAGTGCCTTGCTCAAGGGCACATTTACGTCATTTAGCAGACGCTCTTATCCAGAGCGACTCACAAATTGGTGCATTCACCCTATAGCCAGTGGGATAACCACTTTACAATTTTTTTTTTGGGGGGGGGGGGGGGGTAGAAGGATTACTTTATCCTATCCCAGGTATTCCTTAAAGAGGTGGGGTTTCAAATGTCTCCGGAAGGTGGTGAGTGACTCCGCTGTCCTGGCGTCGTGAGGGAGCTTGTTCCACCATTGGGGTGCCAGAGCAGCGAACAGTTTTGACTGGGCTGAGCGGGAACTATGCTTCCGCAGAGGAAGGGGAGCCAGCAGGCCAGAGGTGGATGAACGCAATGCCCTCGTTTGGGTGTAGGGACTGATCAGAGCCCGAAGGTACAGAGGTGCCATTCCCCTCACTGCTCCATCTAAAGGTACACTCCACTCTACAATAACTGAGTAGTAGGCAAAAGCCCTCGCACAAAAGAGAAATTGACTTACAAACAAGTATATTAGGCCACCAGACTATGGGGATGCGACCGGTGACACTTTCCTTCTTGAAAGTCCAATATCTTGAAAACTTGATGGGACTGTATCAACAGTGGACTAATAAATAAAATACCAAAATATAGTTTTTGAGTGGATTTTCCCTTTAACTCTGTCTAAAGAACATTTCAAACTCCTGGTTACTCCTGGATCGGAATAGCTATTTTCCCAATGCGCACTGCCAAGGGCATCCTAACCACAGGTGCGCACTGTTATTGATTGGTGTGATGTCATTGGAGAACGTCACTTCGCCTAATATTAAATTATGTTTATTATTGGGTCTGTATTGACAGATATGAATACTGAAGGCCTAAATATTTACTGGAAATATTTTGAGATGATTCATGTTTATTATAAAGGGTTTATCATTATAGGCTAGCCTACTTACCTGTTGTGAGGTTGAAGAAAATGTACCCCTGTTATTTGGATCGGACGGTATTGCCCAAGGAAGGAATAGGCAGTTGCCCTTTTGTGTGGCAGTCTGCTTCAGGTTCTGTAATGGAGAGGGGTTATAGGCCTCATGTACATTGTTGCTGTGAGCTGTGCCATGACGCTTAGGCGTTTGTATTTAGCTGTTTAAGTATCTTAAAATGTTCATAATGTTTTGTACACTCAGTGTATATGATGGTGTGTATAGACATTATGGGCAGTATATGAATAGAAAAGGTGGGTAAAACAGTAGGTAAACATTATTAAAGTGACCAGTATTCAATGACGATGTACATAGGGCAACAGTCTCTAAGGTACAGGGTTGAGTGTCGGGTCGTATCCGGCTAGTAACTGTGAATAAAGTTCAGGGCAGGGCACTGGGCGGACGCCAGCTAGTGATGACTGTTTAACAGTCTGATGGCCTGGAGATAGAAGCTGTTTTTCAGTCTCTCTGTCCTAGCTTTGATGCACCTGTGCTGTCTATGCCTTATAGATGATAGAGGGGTGAACAGGCTGTTGCTCGGGTGGCTGATGTCCTTGATGATCTTCTTGGCCTTCCTGTGACACCGGGTGCTGTAGATGTCCTGGAGGGCAGGCAGTGTGCGTTGGGCTAGCTGCAACACCTTCTGGCGAGCCATGCGGTTGCAGACGGTGCAGTTGTCGTACCAGGCGGTGACACGGCCCGACAGGATGTTCTCAGTGGTGCATCTGTAGAAGTTTGGGATGGTCTTAGGGGCCAAGCCAAATTTCTTCAGCCTCCTGAGGTTGAAGAGGTGCTATTGCGCCTTCTTCACATGTGTGGATGGTTGTTGAGTCAATTAGACCATGCCAATTTCAAGCTTATCTTTCTAAAGTTATTTCAGAATAATTTGCCAAGGTAGCTGGCTAACTCCTTGATCCTGCTTTGTAGTTTTCCCCTCTGCACTCTGTCACCGTAAATAAACCATTAGGCCCCTATGCAATTGAAGATGTTGCAAGCCTGCCTTCCTACATCTCCCTTAGCTACCATGGGTCGCCTATTATTTTATATAATTACTAGACTCATACAATACAATGCCAAGTTATAGCACAACATACTGCAAAGTGTTTATCATAGTTACCTGCTGGAGTTTTGGGCAACTGTCTAAAGGTATTGTAGGTCTATTGTCAAGTAGGCCTAGGTTTACAAAATGGAGTGCAATCATAAGTTGCTTTACCATTTCCATGCCAGATTCATTACAGCATACATTTAAATAATATGATATGAGCATTGGTTTCTCTAAATAAATCAAATTACGTTTTGTGCATCATGTATGCCTAAGCTAATGAAGACACATATGTACTAATAGAATGCTAAATGACTCCAACCAACACTACATTTTCTAGCCCGTTACCAGGGAGTGTGTTTTCATTATGTTTCATGACAAGAAATTCCATCAATTTGAGAGTACACACATGCATCATGCATGCACATAATCTCTCTCTCTCTCTCTCTCTCTCTCTCTCTCTCTCTCTCTCTCTCTCTCTCTCTCTCTCTCTCTCTCTCTCTCTCTCTCTCTCACACCTGCTCGTTCTCCCTCCATCCATCCCTCACACGCACACACACGCATTGCATTACTGTATAAGTAGTGCTGCTGAAGATGCGCCAAGTGTTTTGGTATACATACTGCTACAATTGTCAACCTACTGTATTGTAAAGACAAGCTGGATGCAAATGTATGGAGTGCGAGTGTGTGACGCGCTTCCTCTTTTCTGCGCACAGAACAAGGAGGGGCTTGATACCGTGGAGGCAGGACTGCTGCTGGATGGTGTGTGTGCACATTCAAATCAGCTCGAATGCACTAACGAGTGACAGATTTCAGGTAGGATTTAACGTTCTTTTTATCGTTCCAACGTGTTTTAACACTGACGTTTTAGGTTGGTATGTGCACTGGCCAACTGGGCTGTATGGTAGAGTATGTCCTTTACGGTATTTGATACGAGCGCTCTAATGCATAAGAATTAATCAAAGCCTATGTTCAGTCGTTCTGTTTCAGACTCAGAGCTGACTTTTAATTGATCTTGTCTATGGGTGTCATATAAATTCAATATTTAACCAGTTTTAGTTTTATTTTTGACTAGGCTACGTTGCAATTTCATGTGTTGTTTGCCCATAATTGCATAATTTATGGTTGTTGATATCATTACACCTGACACAGCAAACATGTAGGCTATTTAATATGTGACAATCTTACAACTTCATTAAACATAAGTGGCTATCTTGAGTAAATTTTAACTAGTTTCCTGAACCTCGTCGTGCAAATGGTAAACATTCAATCCAGTCTCCAGTGCGAATTTGAGAGGCAATCCCGTATTGACCGGTGTTGCTAACGTTTTATATTCTGTAGGCTACTTTGAAGGTTCCACCGCCAGTACTGTCATCGCTAGTGTGAATTTGCCGCCATATCTTAATCGTAGCCTATGTCTGAAACCTATCAATGCCATATTATCAAAACTACCCGGTAATAGAATTACTGTAGCCCAATACACCACTAGGCTACTCTACTACTAGTCTACATCAAGAGAAAACAAAATCAGATTATGATATTAGGCTGTAACCCAATACATCGTGTCCATAGCGCATCAGTGGTTAAAATAAGTAAAAATATTAAGGTTGAGTGTTTTCCTGTAGCCTACATGTAGTGTGATTGCAGGATGACAATAAACCACGAGCCTCCCACTCATAGCATAAGTTTAGCAGTTTACATCAGCAGCCTATGATGCTGAGTCCATGTCAGAAGCAGCAGACCGGTTGCGATTCCTGCTACTCCTGCCTTCTTGTTCATGTATTTCCAGATCCGAGTTGTGTCCAGATTTGGTCTCGGAAGGCTACGGATTAAGAGACTTAAACCATTGTGTCCCAAGGTGCATTTGAGGATAGTCATAAATAATAGGTCCACATTTACCAGTCAGGTATCCTATTTAGATTTCTGTAGAGCAAACCATTTGGACTAGTACGAGTACCCATATTAGCATGCTCCATATATCAAGATGTGAAATTGATAAGAGGCACAACTTGGTCATGCATAGACATAAAATAAATGAAATATCTTGGTAGCCTATAAGTGGGATATCTTGTCCTCAGCTTTTGTCACACTGCTACATAGTTGATATGCCTATGGGCATTCTGCCACACAGTAAGCTTACTTGTTAGCTATATGTGGACCATTCATGTGACAGGTTTCCCCACAGTCTGACATGCTGAATTCCAAATTGACCCTTAACCCTTACCTGCCAGGCACTCCTGTAGATCTGAAAGGATTGCTTATGTGTAATGTCAAGATTTCCACTCAGCCAATCAGATGGCAAGTTTTTAACATATTGTTTAAAGCTATCCAGCCCTTTCAGTGCTACATAAGTGCCTCAGAGGTAGGGGCTAGGGGTTTAATTAGGCCTAGACTAAAATGTCTAAAGTACAACATCTTTGGCCTTACCAATCACATAGACATTCCTTGCAGATTCTCTGCCTGCCCACTCCCCATGTCAGTTGGCAGTTGGCAGTGTGCCTTCCTACTCCCATGAGTCAGCTATCTGTCTCTGCATTGCCACTGGAGGAGCTGGAACACAAGTCCTCTATAATGTATGTCAGTCACTGTTGGTGGCTAGAGGAAGGGCTCTCTGAAGATCACGTTGACATGATGTGCCAAGAAAGATACGCTTGAGACTGTAGGCTGCTGGAAAGGGTTGAAGAATTCTAAACATCTTTCTGCAAAGGGATTGTGCTGGATGGGTCAGTTGATGAGAGAGTGTGTTTTAATTTCACCCTCTAAACTGATGTGTGCCATAATCAGACTTAAAATACACTCTAGGACTTTGCATAGAGTAATGATATCTGAATGTCATATACTCTTTGAAGAACAGGACATTGAAGGAAATGGTATGTCTAGAGTGTTCAGGTGTTATGCATAGGGATTGGCATTTGATATCTTTTGACTGTTCGAGTACTCAAATAAGTACTCGAATAAAACAAATAATCAATTTTTTAGAAGGCTCACACTGGAAAAGAATATGTGCACATTTGTCTTCACTTAGTGGACAGCTTATTAGGTACACCCATCTAGTACCGGGTCGGACTCCTGAACAGACTAAATTATTCAGGGAATGGATACGTTGCTCAATTGGTATCAAGGGACCTAACGTGTGTCAGGAAAACATTCCCCACACCATTACACTACCGCCAACCGCCTGTACCGTTGACACCAGGCAGGATGGGGCCATGGACTCATGCTGCGTACACCAAAGCCTGGCTCTGCCATCAGCATGACGCAACAGGAACCAGGATTAATCGGACCAGGCAATGTTTTTCCACTCCTCAATTGTCCAGTGTTGGTGATTGCGTGCCCACTGGAGCCGTTTCTTCTTGTTTATAGCTGATAGGAGTGGAACCTGGTGTGGTCGTCTGCTGCAATAGCCCATCCGTGACAAGGACCGATGAGTTGTGCGTTCCGAGAAGCCGTTCTGCACACTGCTGTTGTACTGCGCCGTTATTTGCCTGTTTGTGGCCGCCTGTTAGCTTGCACGATTCTTGCCATTCTCCTTCGACCGCTCATCAACGAGCTGTTTTCACCCACAGGATTGTCGCTGGCTGGATGTTTTTTGTTTGTCACACCATTCTCAGTAAACCCTAGACACTGTTGTGCGTGAAAAGCCTAGGAGGCCGGACGTTTCTGAGATACTGGAACTGGTGCGCCTGGCACTGAGGATCATACCACGCTCAAAGATGCTAAGGTCACTTGTTTTGCTCATTCTAAAGTTCAATCGAACAGTAACTGAATACCTCGATGCTTGTCTGCTTCACATAGCAAGCCACGGCCACATTACTCGCTGTCTGTAGGAGCAAACCATTTTCGTGTACCCAATAAACTGGCCACTGAGTGTATAATGCCTAATTTATCATAACCGTTACAGATAACAAATCCTAATTGCTAAATTGCCCCATATATATTCAGTCAATAAAAAAAGCAAGTGCCATTTAAGATTTAATTAATTTAAACCGTAACATCAACTGGTTATATTAAATAGTAGAACACAATCTTCAAAAAGGCAGTAACCTCAGCAGTGGCACTTGCTTGTAGAAGCCTGTGGCTGTGCAATGGCATAGCCTTGTTTTGTTAATTTAGCAGACAAGACGCTCTTATTTCCTAAGCCCTTATCACAGTGAAGACACACCTATTTTATAGAAAAAAAAAAACAACATTATGTAATATAACAAAATAAAATAGAACCAAATATTTTTCCAAATGAAAAGAGTTGCCAGTGTGAAGTGATGCTCATCTCGTGCCTGGAACAGTTCTTCTCAGAGTGAATATTTGAAACAGGGCTTAATTTGGTGAGTTAAAATACAATTTTCTTCAGGGATCAAAACAAAATTGGTCTTCTTTTCGATATACATACTTTTTATTTAGTTTATTCTGCCTGTTCTTTGGAATTTTCTAAATGGATGAACAATTCCACATTGAACACTGCATGGTGATGAATTACGGCCATTGGTGAGTAGGCATATGCTTAATGAGTCTGATGAAAATACGCTCTGTGTCTTTATCAAACTAATGTTTTTGCATATTTTCAGTGCGGAACCGGTCTATGTTTAGGGGGTTATAGCCTATGCTAATGAATTCTAAATGGCAGTAGCAGTTCACAAAGTAGCTTAAGCAGAAAATTGAAGGGACACAATTATTCCAAAACTGCAGCTCATTGTTGGAACACATATTTTCTTTCTTCAATCAACCAGTCCATGTTGAATTTGTGATAAAACTGTCGTCAATTGGCAAGGAATGTAGCTTGTGTATCCCATCAGTTAGATACGTTTTCATAGGGATTTATTACTGTAGGCCTAATGGGAGCTTGTGTGCGCACTCATTACGCGTGTGTGGAGGGAGCAGTCGGAACGCAATAGAGTGAAAGAGACACAGAGGGTAAAGGGAATTTAGGGAGAAAAACGTGTGATGCTTGGCTTGGTTTCTTTTTTGTTGTGCCCCGCAAATGCACATGTACAAATGGAGCACTAGAGTCAAAGCAAATTAACATAGTCTTCAAAACAAAATTTCACTTGCCAATTGCACGCTCCCTCAACTTTAGACATCTGTGGCATTGTGTTATGTGACAAAACTGCACATTTTAGAGTGGCCTTTTATTGCCCTCAGCACAAGGTGCACCTGTGTAATGATCATGCTGTTTAATACGCTTCTTGATATGCCACACCTGTCAGGTGGATGGATTATCTTGGCAAAGGAGAAAGGGATGTAAACACATTTGTACACAACATTTGAGAGAAATAAGCTTCTTGTAAATATGGAAAATTTCTGGGTTATTTTATTTCAGCTCATGAAACGTGGGACCAACACTTAACATGTTGCGTTTATATTTGTGTTCAGTGTAATTAGCCTACGCTTTCTGTGTTTACTTCCTAAGAGGAGGCCTCA